AGGCAGGATGTTATGTGATTCGAGCTCTTTGGTTAACCCTTCCTCTGCCATGAAGAGCTGGCAAAGCTGTTGGGGGTGGGGCAGAAGAAGGGAAGCCCCAGCATTACTGCTGTCTCTATGACACAATGGCAGGCCAAACATTCCATCCCTGGAGATGCTCCAAGAGGAGCATCCAGACCTGTGTCCAGTCAACAGAAGCGACCGGCCACCGAGCCTGACCGACCATGGCCCTGTCAGCTCTGTGGCGCCGCTCTGTGAGCTGGAGATCAGCCCTGACCCGGCTCGTGCAGCTCTTCCGCTCCCCGCAAACCTCTGGCACCAAAGGTGAGGACAGAGCCTGACCCCGAAAGCCCCGCGGTGCACGGTGGGGACCTTCACAGCCCTTCCTCCCCTGCACCTCGCCCTCCTCCTCCTCAGTCCTCTCAGCACCTGACAGCCCCAGCTCGGCATGTGACTTCCAGGGTTTGCTCTTTCTCACAGGCTCAGCCAACCTGCCTCCACCAGCCCCACTGGCAAGCAGCCCTGGTCTTGCTGTTCCATCAAACACTGCCCGGGGGGGGGCCCAGGGCAGTGGGAAGCCCCTGGCTGGGGCAGACCAAAGTGCCCCCCAGGGTCAACTGCAGCCCTACGACCATCAGGGGAGAGCAGTGGCCCTGGTCCCACCAGCGCGGCACAGCCAGCGCAGCCCTGCCAGCTCAGCCAACCCCTCCGGGACACCCCTGGGCAGTGGCAGCCCCCCAGACAGGAGCACCCCCATGGATGTGGACGTCACCCCAGCGCTTAACATCAGCCTGGCCAGTGACGTCTCCATGGAGGAGGACGCCCCCCGCGGCTGCGACCTCTCGCTGGCCAGCGATGTCGCCATGGAGGAGGACACCGCCCGTGGCTGCGACCTCTCGCTGGCCAGCGACGTCTCCATGGAGGAGGACGCCCCCCGAGGTTGCGACCTCTCGCTGGCCAGCGACGTCTCCATGGAGGAGGACACCCAGCAGCATGTGGGGACAGACCTGCCACCACCGCAGAGCAGCGTGTCCCCACACGACACCAAGCTGGAAAGGCGGGGGGCGAAGAGGAAGGGGGGCTCTGAACCAGGGCCTGCCAGCAAGATCAAGGCTCCTGCAGCCGGGGCTGGGGCAGGAAGACTGGCTTAGGCCTGTTAAAGGGATAGATCGTTTGGGGATCTATCCCAGTTGGAGGGATAGGTCGTTTGGGGACCTATCCCAGGTTGAGGCATAGATCGTTTGGGGATCTATGCCAGTGGGAGGGATAGATCGTTTGGGGATCTATCCCAGTGGGAGGGAGGGAGGGAGGGTGTTTATGTCGCGAAGATGTACATAGAGATGTAGGGAAGATGCAGAGATAGATGTAGACGTAGATATAGTTAACAGTTCTCTTCTGGTTACGGAATAAAAGATTTTATTCCAACACTTGCCTGTGTCTGCATGGAATGGGGAGGGAGTGCAGGGTGGCACCAGCAAATGGCACCAAGCAGATCCACCAAGGCCCAAAAGGCACCAAGGGCACCCAAAGGGCACCCCGGGCCTGAGTCACTGCCAGAGGTGCAGGCACTCCCGCAGGGTCACTCCCCTGTCCCCTTTGCCTGGGGAAGCAGCCCTTTGGCGTGGGAGCCAGGACACGTGGGTCCCGTGCAGGACTCGCGCAGATGGCCCCACGCCCAAAGCAGCCCTGAGCACAGCCTGGCCACCATCCTCCCGCTCTGGGGCTTTGGAAGGCTGCTCCCAGTGACCCCACCATGTCCCCGGTCACCCCAGCGCAGCCCCAGACAGGGCTCCTCCGGGCTGCCCTGGGGCTGCATTGGACAGGGCCGATAAGGGAGAGGGAAGAATGCGCTGGCAACCACATCCAGGGCCTCACAGGAGCCCAGGGAGACGACATCCGTAGATCTCTGGGAGGTGACACTTGGAATGTCTCGACCTCTGTCTTGGGGTGGATGGCGAGCCACTCAGGAGTTGATGGGTCAGGATCAAAGGGCGGGCAGGCTGG